TTAGAAAATAATATGGAGATAACGAACAGCATTCAAGCTGAAAAGTCCATTGAACAATACAAATGAGGAAAAGAGCGAACGCGGACCTCCAAAAAAAAAAACAGAGGTGGGATCAGGTGCCATAAAAGATTGAGCATCCCCTGCCGACCGGTCAAACCCGCCGTGTGCTCCTTGACGTGATTGGGAAATAACGGGAAAAAATCTGTCTACAATTCAGTGTGCAAAAATGGCTTAACGATGAGTATGAAAAACGTCAGTCAGCATTCGACTTAATGATAATTTTTTTTTGCTAACAAGGTCATTGTATCGACCATAGAATAATGAAAGCAAATCAAGGGGTTAACAAAAGTAGTTATGAAATCTGACGTACAGGAAACTGAAGGATACTTAGTTTGAAACAAATGACTTGCGTAGAGTCGGCATTCAACCAGCAGACAAGAGCTAAAAATGAATTGAGTTGAATTAACAATTACTATAGAAATTGATGAATATGTCAGAAAGAAAAGAGTATGTAATGAGTAACGAGGGTTTCAGCGTTCATTGTAATTAGATTTATAACAGTTGTTAAAAAAAAAAAATATGAAATTTTATTTTCTCTACAAAGTTAATTATCCTTTGCTTATGAACATTAATGATTACACATGTATACATACCTGTAATTAGATTTAAAACAGGTGTATTTAAAAAAAAATATGAAATTTTATTTTCTCTGTAAAGGTAAATATCTTTCGGTTATTGGTTACGAAAATGAATGATGATACTTAAGTACACATACATTTGAAAATTTTTGAATAAGGATTGGTTGAGTTTTTCTATTTTAACACTCAACTGGCTGATACATTCATATCAACTGGATTAGCTGACGTTTTATTCATTTCATTAACAAGATACAAAAATCAAAAATGAAATGAAACAATCATATATAATTTAAAAACTTCTCCAAGACAGAAACAAGTCATGATAAAACTATGCCTAAAATAAATCTAAATGAAGAATTCTTTTAATAATACAGACTACAAAACAATGATTGGAAAATCTGCATTGCGAAATTGAAAAATGAGTTGAAGATTTGTGGATTTTGGTTTGATTGTTTTTTTTAAATTTAAACGCCCTTCACATGTAGAAACTGAGACAAAACCAACTAAAGGTGGGATGTTTACAATGCTCTGGAATCAAACTAGTGTCTAATTTCCTGTTCCTAATTGTACCAAATGTCACACAGTTTTTGTTTTCTTCTCTACCGAAAGACCTTTTTATTTTTCTTAGGAATTCTATCAAACTTGGGAACATATTGCTAAATTGTTTTAATTAATACATACAATACATATACATGTATGTGCTCAGTATTTCGGTTAAATTCTCCATCAAAAACAAAACATAAGAATTTTGTATGAATAACAAATATTGTCGAGCAACCAGAAAACCTCTCCATAGAGCTTGCCCACTAGGTTCCCGAAAAGCCTCTTCTTAGATTTTGTCCAACGGTAACAGCGTCATGGATTTTGACCAGAATTAAATATAACTGGTGAAAAGGACAAGTCTTATGGATATAAAAAGCAATACACAGTTATAATTGTTATATTTTGTAGTTAAGAACTTGTTAGCTTTACGGGTCAGAGACTAGAAGAGCTTATGCGATAGTAAGGTGCCCGTCTTCCTTCCGTCTGTTTGTTTATAATTTTTTGAAACATACTAACTCTTACAATTTTGGTTCGATTTCAATAGCTAAGTATACAAGTAAAATTATTAATAAATTAAGATACATAATTCTTTTTATCCGTTTTTTGATTTTGATGTACACTTTTGTTGTGGTTACTAAATATAGAAATTTCTTGGGAATACTCTTACAAAACGATACTCCTCCTACAGTTTTGCTTTTGATTTCAATTTATTACCCTATAAGGTACATGATCCTACATATCGGTTTTTGAATTTGATAAACATGGGTACTTAAAATTGAAATTCTTTTTGAAATACTTTTAGAAACGCTACTCTTCTGACACTTTTGGTCCAATTTAAACATTTCTTGACACACTGTAAGTGGACTTCACTTTGATACATGATAATGTTTATCGATTAGTGACTTTGAAGAGCCTTTCTGCTTACGTTACTTAAATACAAATTGTCTTTGAAATTCTCGCAAAACGCTCCTTCTCCTAATTTTGAATGTTGTTTTTTTTATTTTGATGACTCGTGAAATACGTGCAAAACGCTACTCCGCCCTCACTTTTGGTCTGATTTTGATATCATATGGCATATAAGTAGACAATAATATTATTTATTATATAGCGAATAAATAATCTATAATAAAAATCTACCAAAAGTCTAGAGAATTTTAGCGTTCAATATCTTGACGTTTTATTGAACGCTAACTTTGTATTAAGTGTATGAGTATGCCCGAAACATTCCGAATACGAGCGTTCAATTTCGAACGCCCCGTTGTAAACAAAAATATCGTTAGGTCATCATCTCGGAGGCAAATTTATGATAGATATTGGCTTCTAGGTAATAAGTGTTTATTTTCAGGCAAAATTATAATTAATAATTTAGTATGTTTTAGTCTAAAATAATACCTCAAAAATCAGATCATAACGCTAGGTAGGGTCATGGAAAGGATGCGATATTGAACACTTACACTTGCAGGACAGACGTTAATTTAAATACCGATACTGAAAATTCTTATTAATTTGAGTTTTTTAGTTGAAATTATTAATTTTTTTTAGCTATATAATAAAGGATTTATTGAACTTATATTGGTGAATATTGGCACTCGTTGGCTGTACAAATGCACTCACAAGCTCTGCATGTGTACAGCCAACGAGTGCCAATATTCACCAATATAAGTTCAATAATCCTATAATAGTGGTTCTTGATTTCGATGTTCCTGTGTTGCTGTGGTATGAAATACCTTGAAATACTTTTAAAATGCTCCTCCTCCTACAGGTTTAATCTGATTTCACTATAACTTGGCATACAAGTTGACTACTCTAAGATAAGTAATTCTGTATAAAAATTATGGATTTTTGATGTCGATGAACGAGGTTGCCATTGATAACTAAAACAGATCATTCTAAAAATTCTTTTAAAAGGCTTCGCCTCCTATAGTTTTAGTCTGATTGCCATCTCTCCACAAAAAGCCATTAAACCAAGGACCATTGTTCTATCGCTGTTGCAAAGTTTAAAGTCCAATTGCTACTTTTCTCTTCCCTTGAACTTTATAAATACAAACCAGTAGAGCTAGAGTCTCGACAGACTTCTGTTTTTTAAACCAGAACTAATTTTGATTAAAGGCTTACACGGATGCCACAGGAGGGTGTAAAAGTATGCCTTTTCTCCGAATGTCCTCAATTTTTGTGGGATTTTGTCAAGTTAGAGATACTTTTCACCTCGGAAAACAAACTTAAGCACAAGCTTGCCTATTTGAGATGTTAATACACAAGCTGCATCAGATACTAGTGTAGATAGGCAGGCTTGTGCTCTTTGTAATCTAAAACAAAACAAAATGTGCTGTAATATCGATGAAAAGTTGCATAACAATGAGAAAATTGGAAATCATCATATTTTCTAACCTTCCTGTGTTTCCCTTAACTTTAAACCAGTAGTGATTTTGTGTACGGGGTAACAACTGGTTTTTATTAATCAAAGACATTAAATTCAAGGGCCTAAAAGGGTCTTGGCCTATCTTGCCCTTTTGTAAATTAACAGTGACAGAACCAAATGTATCAAACTATTTGAAGTTAATTTTGAAATTGTTTTAAAATGATAATATTTTTGTCTTGTTTTATTTATGAAATATCTCTAAAAGCTTCAAAATAGTAATAAAAGCCTCTAATAGAGTGTTCTTCTCCGTTTTTTGTTGTAATGACTCTTTAATGGTCATTTTGATTTTAAGGAAGAAAATATCTTGGGGTAAAAGAGCGATTACGACCTCGCATGCATTAGAACGCAGCTAAAACAGAGTGAGCAGATGCAAACTGTAGTCAGGTTAATACATCTACTTAACAAAATAATTATTACGTTTAAAAAGATTTCTCTTCTGTGTTCGTGGCCATTTGTATTCATCTAGGGAACAGAGCGTATCTAAAAGAGGAAGCTGTTTTTATATAAAATGAGAAAATCCAGCAAATTATCATGTCAATTATTTTGTCATTAAATTATTTTTTTCAAGAATAGAGGTTTAAGTAATTATTTCGAAAACGAACAATACTTTGATCATTCCAAGAATAACTTGAGTTACATGTATAGATGAATAACTCTCCATTGGTTAACTTAAGAAAGACAAAATGTCGTCAATAGGATTCGAAATGTTATTTTTACTTACAATGAAAAGCAAAGGCCTTAATAAATTTTGTCTGTACAATGGCTTTTCATGTCGTTAAGGTTTTGTTCCTTTTATGCATTTCATGATCACAGACAATTAAATAAAAACTTCGTGAGCAACCAATCAAGTCCGTATTTTCTGTAATAGTTAAGGCGTTTAGGAAGTATATACATTAATAAAATAACATGATTCAGCATCATATATGTGTAATTATAAAACATATGGATCTAGGAGTAGAAATATTCGCTCTTTTTGGAACACATCTTTGCCAACTTCTCCTTTTGAATAATTGTCTTGTTAGCATTACATATGTACATTGTTTTTATCTTTTGAACGTTACATGTTTTTAAGTGCATGGATTGATGCATTCGATAACCCCAAACAAACTTGCTGAGGCAACTTTACCTCTAGAAAAATGATTGATGTTGTGCATCTCCCCGTGAAGCAAGTTAAAACAAAAAGGTAATAATAGTAACCCAGTATAATTGATTTGTTTGGCAGATTTTATCTGTTACATTAATATCAAAGGAAAGTTAAAATAAAAAAAAAATCCATTCCGATGAAATACATTTTAAAATACAAAATAAAATCAAGTTTGATATGTATATCTTTGACAGAGTCCTAAACTTAAAACCAGAATAAAATTGCAATTCAGACACATAATATTATGAAGGTAATTTCTTATTTCATTGATACAGTTACCATTGAAATGCTGCAATCGGCTGTGGATTACATGTATTTACTTAGCTAGTAGAGGCGGCGAGAATTGCAGCTTTCTGACGCATTCTTTGCTGGACATGTTATACAAATGATTAAAGGTTTGACAATTTATTGACAATATTCTACCATCAATAGCAGCTGCCTGGTGAATATGTCAGAAAAATCTGCGCTTCTCCTCAAATGATTTTCCCCCAGGAGTACACATTATTATTATACGGAAATCTCTAAGTACTTTTAGATATTGTGCTTTATTCAAGAGACGTATACATGGATTAAAAAGTAATGGTTCAAGACTAATCCGAAGTAAGTTCAGAGAAATACAAATGGTAGATTCCTGGAGAAAACTTAACCGCCTCCCTTGTGACGTCACCAGTGTATAACGCGTATATATAACGGCAGATACCGGAGGCTGATAAACTGAGTTTATTGTATTGGAAATGAAAAGCTTAAGATGATATTGGTTTTTGAGAACTGCCAATTAACGGACTGAATCCTATTTCTTTAGATGGTAAACAGAGAAGGGGCTATCAGACAAATTCAGGACCATTCAATTTACGAACTAATTTAATAATAGGCTAAAAACTTTATTGCCTTCATTTTCTGGTCGCTGATATTCTTCAAAGGTTATAATGGAATTCGAGAATCTGTCAATGACTACAACGGCATTAGACAGTTTTGTCAATGATAGCATATACCCCCGCTTTAATGGAACTACGATGTCCTCTGGTTTTGACAAAGATGGGTATATACGGATTTCGTTATACAGTATTATTTTCATATCGAGTGTACTTGGAAATGGACTGGTGATACTAACTCTGGTGCAGAACCACAGGATGAGAACAGTCACCAATGTGTTTCTTTTGAACCTAAGCGTTAGTGACTTACTTCTGGCAGTTTTCTGTATGCCGTTCACAATCATTCCACAACTAATGAGAAAATTCATTTTTGGCGAAATCATGTGCATTACCATTCGATATTTTCAAGGTATGTAAAATATATGATAAATTATGTCAACACTTTCCAGAGTAATTTGAATTTTCAAGTTAATTTCATGTTCTATTGAGCTGACAAGTTGATTTAAAAAATGTGCATCATAAAAGTGAATTTCTTTTCCAACATATCTATGTCTGTTGATTCAATTATTTCATATGACACATTGTCATTTTTATTACAGTAAGATCTCTATTAATCAGAAATAATCAATCACTTCAACTAAAATTTCGGCATCCACACGTTTTTCGCAAAATTCTCCATATTTCACTTGGAATGCGTCAGGACTCATTTCGTCCATATCAAGTGCAATCGTCATCAGGCCGTTGTGCAATGATCAGACTTATGCAATCCATCATTATGTTTAAATTGAGCCATTGTCCAACGAGAGCGGCAATCCAGCTCTCTAAATGGCACCGGAAATGACAGATTTCCCGTCGTTCCCTATTTCAATTCCGTTTATGTACCATACACGGTATAGCCATTAGGAACTCCACCTTTTCAGTACATCTGTGATGTATTTGTCCATCATTATTAGCATGTACCCATTTCTCACTCAACATAAAAAGATAATTATCTAAATTCACTCTCATCTCTTGATGGACAAGATCTGTTTGTTATCGACTTGAAATTTCTTTTTGATTTTTTCCGGTAACCAGACCTTTCTCTTTAGAAGTAATTAAGCCCAGGTCAATTTTCTGAGGTCCGTGTATTATCCAACTGAGATCTTCTAACAATATTGAGTTGAAAAAAGGAATGTTATTCAAAATATTTTAATAAATATCTGTAACGAAGTATAAATGTATGATTTAGATCATAATGTGATTTTAATTGCTCGCCATATGACTCCTATAATGCTAGAAATTAGAGTAATTAAAGATATTTTTTGAAGGCATATTTCAGCGATTAAAATATTAGCATTGAGAGAGATTACTTGTTGCTTAAAATACCAGTACCTTCGGAAGGCAATATTAGCCATGCAATCTAAAAATGGCGTCTATAATAAAAACTTATTAATGATGAAACTCAAAAGTTTCAGAAAAATGGAATGTACTAAGTATTCAAATAGACGTTCTCACTAGGAGATATTTTCATGTAATATGCCATATTTTAAAATTAGATATAGAAGGCTAATAAAACATTACGATGCTATGATTGAAGTCCAATCTGCCAGAAATAGGCTGTCAGGTAATATAATAAAATACTAGATTTTCCTTCAAAATTTATAGCAATACAAGAGACATATTTATGCAAGTTCAATCTTGCAAGGGAACTCAGTATCTCATTAATGATGAGATATTGCAATTAATGTAAAGTCGTGGTTCAGACTGTGCTTAATTTATGATTTCAGATATACTAGACTTAAATAATTTTGAATTAACGCCTAGCGTAACCATCAGTTTAATTATCGGGGCTAATTGTTCCCATACACTAGTAATAATGTTATGACATTATAGAGACCTCTCTTTAACTCTTTTTAAAAAAGAATTTTCAATCATGTTAATTTTCCTTGATAATTATTTTACCAGAAAACCAGGGGCTATATAAATTATCTGACATTAGAGACAATCAATAAAATCTTCAAAATTGTGCAATTCATTCCAATTATCACGCCCGAGGACAATAGGGATGATTATTGTGTTGACGATATCGCATTGGGTTTTTATCAGCAAAGATGTTCAAGAATTCATCAAATGCAATCAAGCAAAGTCTGGTTCCGCAAATTCACCAGGCACGTATTCGCCGAGGTAGCTAGGACAGACGCTGTGGTAACAAGGTTCTAGCTTTCATTCTTTTGTCTTCATTAATCAACACCGAGAAAACAAAAGGATATATAAGGGTTTTCTCAATACGTGCGACAGATTAAGCATACCGGTATTAGGTTTTCACACAGCACATCGAAAAGTTTATCTACAGGCATTTAAAGTAATGACAAGACTAAGATCGAGGAATTTATTAGTTTTTCTTTTTTATTAACTGTATTGTTAAATGTTGATTTTTAGGATAATAAACAGAATGCTTATTTTAAATGGAATTCCCGTCAATCTATTTACAAAATGACTGTTACAAAATCTACAGAAAAAAAATCGTATTTTTAAAACTACAAACTAACAGTATCTTCATAACAACAACTGAAATGCCTAAGTGAGTAAGAAATAAATAGTGGGTAACGAAAAAAGTTCATTCGATACTTAATGTTTTCCATGAGGATTTAGCTTCTTAGATAGTGGAAGAAATGTCAAATATCTATGACGATGCTAATTATTTTCACATTATCTTAAGAGTAACTTTTTTAAAAAAAAAAGGTGAAAGCACACTTTAAACACTTATATGTGTCGATTTCAATTTAACATGTACAGCGAATGTGTTGGAAATATCAGTTCAAGTGGAAATCTATGCCTTGTAACATACAAGAACCCCATTACAGAGAAAGTCAGCAAGTCAAAATTTTATCGTCTGAATCCTTCGTGAGTGTCTTGTTTTGTTTACAACGATCTTAGTACATTTTGTTAAAAAGGAACAACCAGGCCCAATTGCTCATTGAATGAGCACAATGTGTATTTCGTGTTTTAATTATAGAGGGATGTAAGGAATAAGCACAACAGCAGACCGTAACATGCTTTTTATTAAAGAAACTTATGCCATCTGTCAAAAAAACTTGTGTTCAGGATAAGTACTGACAAAATGTCATAGAATGTAAATGGTTGTATTTGAAAATGGATATAAGAATCTGTTTTTCAAGAAATTTCATTTAAAAAAAAACTTAGAAACTGACAAGTTGCTTTGTCAGTAGTGGATTTCTCTTATAAAATACAATGTCCTTTAAACTGTCTGTATCTCAGAACCCAGGTGACAGGAAATCATTAATCAGCTGGATATGACCAGGGACCCTGTATACTAACGGTCCCTGATATGACCAACTTCTGGTTCAACGTCCCTCTGTTGACGTGAGGAAAAGTTTAATTAAACATCAATGATTTTCTGGAGGAAATCTTATTTTTAATTAAAATGAACAGAATTTCACCAAACCTTGCAGGGACCAGCTGGGATGACAAAAACTAACACAAAAACTCATACAATTAAAGTTATTTAAGTAATCACTGTCTAGTTAGTGTAGTATGCCAGGGCATCAACGATAGTAGGAAACATGGGATAATTTGCAAAACGGGCGAACTCATGTTTCCCACAATCGTTGATGTCCCTGGCATACTATACTAACTAGACAGTGATTCCTTATATTCCCATTTCATTGTGAAATAAAATTGTAGGTTAAGACTTTAACCAGAAGTCTCTGTCGAGACTGAAGCTCTACTGGTTTGTACTTATAGCAAAGGAAGAGGAAATTTTCCTCTTCCTTTGCTATAAGTACAAACCAGTAGAGCTTCAGTCCTGGAAAGTACTTGAGCAGTTGGGAATTGAAACTTTACACTAGCAAAAAAAGAGAATAATGATCCTTGAATAAGTTTCTTTATGTTCTTAGTGTAGTCTACTTGCATGCCACATTATATTATAATCACACTAAAACTGTATTTGAAGTAGCATTTTGAGAGTAACAGAAATTGCTATCTTTATTAACCAAGGTAATAATGTTCATTGAAGTCAAAAACGGATATAAAGAATTATGTACCTTAGTGTAGTCTACTTGTGTGCCAAGTTATATTGAAATCAGACCAAAACTGTAGGAGGAGTAGCATTTTGAAAGAATTTCACAGAAATTTCTATTTTTAGTAACAACGCCTACACCATTCATCGAAATCAAAAACCGATATACAGAATTATGTATCTTAGTGTAGTCTACTTGTGTGCCAAGTTATATTGAAATCAGATCAAAACTGTAGGAGGAGTAGCATTTTGAAAGAATTTCATAAAAATTTCTATTTTTAGTAACAACGCCAAGACTGTTCGTCGATATACAGAATTATGTTTCTTAGTGTAGTCTACTTGTGTGACAAGTTATATTGAAATCAGACCAAAACTGTAGGAGAAGTAGCATTTTGAAAGAATTTCACAGAAATTTCTATTTTTAGTAACAACGCCAACACCGTTCGTCGAAATCAAAATCCGATACACAGAATTATGTATCTTAGTGTAGTCTACTTATATGCCAAGTTATATTGAAATCAGATCAAAACTGTGAGGAGTAGCATTTTGAAAAATTGTTTACAGACAGACAGACAGACAGACGGACGGACGCCGGACGCATTACTATCGCATAAGCTCTTCTGGTCTCTGACCAGTAGAGCTAAAAATGTAGACATAGACTTGAATTACACGAGAACTCCCATGCAAATTTAAATAGTCCTCGCCCAATGACGTCAAACACAAAGGCAGCCGCACGAGATTTACATGCATATTAAGCCTCCTTAGCTCCTGACCTATCGATCTGCCTAATTTACATTCCGGTAGACTTATCAAGAGATCAACTTCTCTAGCTTTCAAAGAGTTATCACAGAGAGAAAAATTAAAAATGGAAATATAAATTCAATCATTAGAATTCCTGAAATTTATGTCTTAAAAAAAAACATTGAATTACGTATATTTCGAACATTTCTGAATAATGTGCTGGTGGCAATAAAACAGAATCTACATCAAGACAAGTTGTCATGAAAAAAAAGAAATTTAATTGTATTTAGAATTAAAAAAAAAATTAACCATCGTATATATAACTGTATTAATAATATGAAATACTGGAATGTAAATGTCATATAAAAAAGATATGCATTTAGCAGCTCTACAAAGTGATAATATGATTGTCATTGATCACCTTTCAATTGCTTAGTTTTTATAGGAAACTGTGAGATCTTCCTACATCAGTTCTTTTGACTGTGGTGCATATTTCCTATTAGAACAGAATCCTAAATTTCGTGTTGAACTTAATTCTGTTTCCAGACTTTTTTTTGGTAATTAAACATTTTTAAAAAGATGACCAAAGCTCCCCTGTAGGAATTGAATAAAATATCAGATTCTGCCTTCAAGATGTGACTTCTCTGTCT